ATGTTGTATGAAGAGCTCTAAAAAAGGCTTCTTCATGCCAAGAAGTGTAAGAGTCCATGAGCCAAAAGTCCATAGGGATGTAGAAGGACAGCTGGTAGAGGTGCAAGATGTACACTTTTTATTAGTATTTAAATCTATTATATATTTTAATGCATTAATCATAAATGAATAGGAAATGTATATAAATTACTCTTGGGGTGCAAACCCCAAGATTTTTAAACCGACATTAAAATGGCCTGTGTTCACTTAAAGTTTATTTATATAGCAGTTGTTTTAAGTGCACTTGGGAAGTATATTTAAAGTTTGTGTGGTTGGCATGTTTTGCTATTAATTCATGTGTACCTTAGATGTAAGAATGCTGTAATCTCTGATCATTTCATAAATATAAACCAACAAATTTGCTGTGAGGCACAGAGGAGATAAGAAACAAGAAAAAGGTGTTTCACTTAACATCACAAAGAAAGCCTCTTATCAAAGCTACATTTAGAACCACAACCATCTCCTGGTGTAATGCAATAATCTCAATTTTATTCTATACTCTTAAAAATATCTGACCAATCACTAATTCTTACATCAGTAGATTGACTGTTTGGTCTGTGGTGTATTTTTTATTTTTATTTTTATTTTTATTGGTGAGCCTTGCTCATTTACTTGGAGTTAAAATGAGATACAGATTTTGGGATAAAGGAGGATCTACTCCTGTGTCAAATTTAAAGGAACTTTTGCCTTTTCTTTTGATTTATTGCTTTTCTCTTCACTGTGGGATGTTGTTTGCTTCCTATGATTGCCAAAGAATTTTAATCCATCAAATCCCCAGCTACGGCAATGGCATTACTCCATGACCTGGAAAGAGTCCTCAGTGATCTTTTCTTATGTGAAAATGAGCTGATTTTTAAAGTGGAGCCAGGGACTGGAAACTGGCAATATCCCTCTTTGTGTGTTGCTTGGAGACATTTGAATCCACAGATAGGAAGAACAGACCAAGCTATGTTGACCCTTCCCTCGGTCACTGCCCTTCCATCCCAATTAGAGTGGGTTAACAGAATTAGGAAGCAGAACTGGCTGTGACTTTTAAAAGAAAAACATTTATGTGGAGCTAAAGTAAGTGCTTCTCCTATACCCAGTGCCCCTGAGCTGCCTATTCTTTTTTTATGGCATGTTAACTGTGGCTGTCAGTCTTTATTACTGAGTGTTGACTATGCTACAGGTTTCTGGAAGGTGTTTCAGGCCCTGTGATGCAGGAGGCCGTAGCAAGTAGTTTTTCCATGGTTACTCATAATCTAAACATCTACTTCACAATTATGTGTAAATGAAATCCCTTCCATTTTGTTTCTGTCATGCCTATGACTCCAGTATGCACGAAACTTAAGAAACACTGAACTCCACATATTGTATCACCAGTTATCCCCTAGCAAGGAATGTCTGTTCCAAAAGCCTGGACTAAATTCTGTCTTGTAAAAACAAAAGAGAAGCTTCATCGTAGTAACTGATGGACAGAGAGAACAATGTAAGAAACAAAAGTTTCAAATATAAATTATCTAAGGAGACCACTACTCTAACTGTCAGAAATTCTTATTGCTGCAAACAGCTAGAGTGAAATAAGCAAATAATGTATAGAGAAGAATATATTTCTTATATTCTGTAGGCCCTCCACTTCTGGTTTGTCATAGGAATAGCTCATCAGTTGATAGAGATATGAAAGCAGTAGGAACCAGGAAAAGAAAAGGTAGAAAAAGTCAAATATTTCTGCAGTGGACTTCTCCCTTTTTCTACACTGAATGGAGGGTTATATATTCACATTTTTCCCTGATTCTGGAATAGAGTTTTAAATATCAGAGTCTCTGTCCCCTCCCAGTCTTCCCCACAAACATAGACTGGTAAGAATTTTTTTCAACTGCTCGTGTTTTTATTGAAAGTTGAGATGTGAAGTTCACATTTCTTCCCGTGGCAGAGTAAAGTTCTCTCCTTTTTTTTTTTTTTCTTCTCATGAACAGTAAATTCTCTTGAAATACTTCTGATTAAAAAAAAAAAAAGTAAAAAACATCACATGGTCTTCTTGCAACACCTCATGGAAGGGCTTGATTCATCTTTCAGTCATGTGATAGGGAAAATTACTAGTTAATGTCAAAAATATTTTACATTTAACTGCTGAAATTTCATTTTTGCAAAGAAAACAGTTTTAACATCCAGAGTGTGATCTGGATGTCTTGCCCATATTTTTCTATTTATTTTCTCTTCTATTGTATGCTAACTTTATCATTCACAGATCAGGCCATGATACTTTTAGCCACTTCTGATGCTTCTGGGTGGATTTTCCATTGCTAGGACTTGCAATCCAGCCTGTATTAAAAAAAAAAAAAAAAAAAAAATCTATGCCCAAATAAAAAATTAGGAAATAATACCGTTGCTGTGCTTCTTTTGTTCTCTTAATAGAAACTTGAATCAGTATAAACAGCATTAAAATTACTTCTTTTCAAATATCAGAGTATTAGTTATACACATTATTTGTTGCAAAACATGAATCAATGTATTTAGAACATTGTAAGCCATTCAGAAATAGAACTACAATATTGAATGTTAGCTTTTTCATGGGTATTGAATTTTAAATGCTTGATTTAACAGCAGCAGTATGCAAAGCTGGTCATCTCACATCGATCTTTACTTGTGAGATTATCACTTTTAAGACAGATAATAAGGTATAACAAATACAAATATTGCAGTAAAAACACCAAAGACCATGTATTTGATTCACTTTACCACTATTTGTGCAAAATTTTGCAAATAACCAGGAAGATCGATATTTAACTCCATGATTCCAAAGCAATCCTCATAAACTTAAAAAACTGTAAATAGTATTAGTCTGTGCTTTTTAGTTTCTGCCTATGAATTCCTCAGTTAATTCAGTTTTTTAAGTGCTTCAAATGGACCAGAACTGCATGTGTACAAATTTGGTCCCTAGAATACATAAATAATACATGAAGAATAGTTGGCACTGCCTATATTTAGACCAACAGAATGTGTGGAAAGAAAATGCAAATCAATTTAATTAGAAAGCAGCCTGTCAGAGGATGGTTTTAAACTGGGTCCAAGACTACATCTCAGAACCTAATGTTATTTAGGTTGTTGTTGTTAAATATTTATAGGCAGTGAAATGTTGAAAATATTCCCAAAAGATTATAGGATGCACTTACACTTCCCCAGGCTCTTGTGAACTAATCACTTTCTTTCTTCCATCTGACTGAAGAAGTGTGTCAAGTATGGGGTTTTGCAGAGTTTCAGCTTAATCAGGATGGTCTGGAATGGTGAGACTTAGGCTCCTGTATGCACAAGAGAGTGAAAAATAATTTGTTTTCCTTTCTTTGTGCTTCCCATATAGTCCTGTGTAAATACAGTTTAGCTCCTAATACAGAACAGGATTCATTTCTAAGCACAGATGATAAAAGCAAAAGTTCTTGCAACGTAAATATTTTCAGGCCAGCTTTTCCCACCTTTTATTGTGGAATAAAGGAAAAGCCAAGAGTGGTTTGTAATTATTGGCCCTTTCTATATTTTACTTCTGTGCTGGCATAGCAACCCTTTGCTGTTAACTTTATTCCCATGATAAGCTCTAGATATGTAAGAAGAAATTTAGGAAATAAAGAATAAATTGAAAGAAATTCCAAAAGAAAAAATATATTTTCTGAGTGTAAAGAGTATAAAATATCCTATCCATGCTTTCATTCAGATCCTTCACAGTTGATCACAGTACATGAAATAGTCAAATGGGTAGCATCTCTCTAAATGATACTGAGGATTCTTTTTTAAAAGGTATAAAGTTAATGGAAATGCATTTTATTGCTCAGCCAAAGGAAACACTGTAAAAATTTTAGCTAGTAAGTAACATTATGTCAGAAAGAGAAAGAGGACAGATTCTTTGTAGAATTGCATATGACATGAATGAAGGAATGTTATGCATTTTCATCTATCTTTTTTTTCCCCCCCCTGGGATTTCTCAGCCACTTTAATAAAGAGTCTTTTGTGTATATTTTTGAAGGAGGAGAAGAAAAAAGATGGCTTTGTTCTCTTCTTAAACATTACACAGGAAGCACCTCTAACTGCTGTGATTTATTCCCTAACATTCAGAAAATAAAAGCTTTCTCCATTGGCATTATTTATTAATTAAGGTAGATTTAAAAATCCCCATTGAAAAGCCCTTATGCACTATATAAAGAAAAAGAGAGCAGATGACATAAAAAGGTAGGACACTGTCCTTTGAACTGCCCCTTAAGATGCTGAAAGGTTGAATGCTGCGAAATTATCATACCTTTTTAAAGCACTGGTTATGAAAAAGATATGCTTTAATATATCACAGTTTACATCCCTGTTATCCAAACACACTTAACATTACCTTTGTGAATGCATTGCTACCTGGTACTGTTAATAAGAAAATGCTTGCTTGGAAGGCATCGTGACAATCTATCAAATGGAGACTTTTGTGGCTTTGTCCTTAAGCATACATAGTTGTTTCTTCCTTTTAATAAAGTAATAGTATAAACCATTCATAACATACCAAAGCTCGGATTAGCTTTAGGGTAACAAGCTATGAAGAAACAAGCTGTAGATTTATGCATATTAGACTAAATCTACTGCAGCATAATTAAAAGCTTGATGGAAATTGAAAGATTAATACTATTTGGTTCGATATAATAGTTGGGCATGAAGATGTTTGATTATCATGGGAAAGTGTGATAGGACTTGTTGCATCAAGTTGTCTGGTTTAAAGGCAACACCTTCTGGATTACTTTTGCATGTATGTATTTATTTGTGTGTGCATATGTGGGTTTGTATTTATGTGACTAGTGTGACCGTGGTGAGACGGAAATGGCTTTTCAATAAATGTTATTGTTCTAGAGGATATAGTTTTTCCTGTGACATTATATTACATTTTATTCTTCTCAGGAATAATTAACTTTCCTTAAAATATACGTCATGCAATGTTATGTTCCCTCTGGTCTCTTTAGGATCTCCATATAGAGATAAAATCACTATAGCAATTCTTCAGCTGCAAGAGGAGGGCAAGCTCCACATGATGAAAGAGAAATGGTGGAGAGGCAATGGCTGCCCAGAGGAGGAAAGTAAAGAGGCCAGTGCTTTGGGAGTGCAGAATATTGGAGGAATCTTCATCGTGCTGGCAGCAGGATTGGTGCTTTCTGTCTTTGTGGCAGTGGGGGAGTTTTTGTACAAATCAAAAAAAAATGCACAGTTGGAAAAGGTAAATATTGGTGTTTTCCTATTTTGTTTCATATTTATGGTTTTTTGGGTTTTTTTTTTAAGAATCCTTTAACTATTTGGTAGCTAAATGTGGGTGATGCGTACTGATTGTTTATTGTGTAGTGCACTACTTTTTTAACAAAGGATCACGACAAAGTATCCGACATTTTACATTTACAGCTTTTAATTTGTCTTCAATATGTTTAATTGTAGCCAGATTTCAGGACAAGTGACTATTTCTCCTCTTATTCAAGCCTGAAAAAAGACAGCTTTTTACTCCTGGAAGTTCACTGCAGTTAATTTTATGGATGAAGAAGAAATCTGAAACTGTAATGGGAAACAAATTAATCTTCTACAGATAATTCTGATTTTCAACTGACAAACTGTCCATAGCTCAAAGTAAAACTCTAAACATGTCTCTATAGAAATGTTCTTTACAGAAGTTTATACTTGCAAAGTTATCCTGGTATCATCTGGAAAAGATTACATTAGCATGTTTGGTTTTGGTGGGGTTTTTTTGTTTGTTGGTTTGTTTTTTTGTTGTTGGGTTTACTACTGATACAATATCCTGTAATTTCAAACTGACTAGGTTTTGAAAATTCTAGTGTTAATTTGTTCTATACTTGCAATTTATACAATCAAAATACTGTAATTGTGCTAACACTAATATCCTGTGAAATTATTATTTGGAAATATCATTTTTGCATAATAAATAAATCTTTTAATGTATATGTGCCCATGTTTAAACCTAAACTCAAACTGTATACTTTATTGCTGTGAAATATTCTGAATTTTAAAAATTAAGAGAAAATGTCAGATTTTGCTAGGTTTTTTCTTTTTTTCTTCTTCTCCTTTTGAGGAGCTTGTGACCTATGGCATATTCTATAGTTCTATTTAGAAGTGCAATTTAATAAAATCAGTAGTAAATCCAACAGTATTTATATTGGGTTTTTTCCCAATGCTACTGGTAAGTTTTTGTAACTTGAATTACTACTCAGGTAATTTACAATGTTGTCCTTTTTTCTTTTTTTTTGTGAGGTTTGTGAGGTTACAAAGGTCCTAAACGCAGTTTGAACATGGGTACATTTTATTAAATTCTTAAAGGACCATTCAGATCCTCTGCTTTATAATGCTACAGGCTGATTCCTTTCTGTCAACATACCATTGGAATGTTATCTTTCTGAAATTATGAGGCAGCCGTTTGGTATGCGTGTCCTGTTATATTATTAAAGAATTTTATTTCCCAATACACAAAAAAGCATTGTGAGGTTACAAGGTCCTAAACACAGTTTGAACATGGGTACATTTTATTAAATTCTTAAAGGACCATTCAGATCCTCTGCTTTATAATGCTACAGGCTGATTCCTTTCTGTCAACATACCATTGGAATGTTATCTTTCTGAAATTAATTGGTGAGGAAAGAGATACCAGTTACTTAAGTAACCCATGAAGTCTCAATAATTTTTATCCATTCCTAAGGTAGATATGGATTTCATATGGACATCAATATAATTTGGTTTAGCTTTTCTGTATTTTTAACAAGCACTGAGAAAAACAGGACTGTTTTGATAATAATTTTGTAACATGAATTCCGTATTTGCAGGGTGTGAATGCATAGTTTACGTGAAAATAGAAGCGTGTTGGAAGCTGTGTGGGGAAGCAAACAGAAACTTCTTAATTAAGGACTCGTTTCTCTAAGCCCTATGATTTTGGGGTGGTTTTTTTTGTTTGTTTGTTTTGTTGTTGTTTGTTTTGATTTTTTTTTAATCATGGATAGAGGTAGCAATGAATGGAGGTATCTGACTTTTTAACATTACTTGTACCAGAAATGTCTCATGGGAAAATATTGAGATAGTAAAAGTTAGGAGTGAATCTGAAGCAGTTGCAAGAGTCAGGTGTCCTTCCTTTCTTTCTTCCTTGCCACCAATCTCTTACCTTCCTTCCCCACTACACACACATACACCAATGTCAGGAGACCAGAAAATTTTCAGTAGAACCTTACCCATGAAATGAAATTAGCAGGAAAATTATACCAGCATCCCCTCACCCACTCTTCTCCCAGCACCCACAGACCTTCAATGGGTGTCATCTTCCATCCTCTCCAAATGTAGCAGATCCCCTCTGCCTACGACAGTGAGTAGCAGCAGCCAAAGGCAAGAGAAACAGTAGTGTCATCTTTTTCCAGAGTCTACATCTTCTCTGTTGGGATGAGTAAACCATGCAAATAATGCTCCCTTGGCTATCCCACAGGGAGAGAAGAGGCACCTATTTTGGGTAACAGTTATAATTTCATTCCTTTAGAATCAGAGTATCATTCTGGCATTTGTGTAATTCTTGTCAATATCTGGAAACAGGGAAGATCAAAGGTCATATCATTAACCAAGGCAACAAAAGAGATAAAATAACTTCAGCTGCTGAAAATATTGAGTATCCTGGGATATAAATGGGCATATTAACATGTATGTTTGCTTTTTAACGTATGCAAAATATACAGTTGCACTTCCAGTGGGGAGGCAATGCATATTTAAAGTGCAAAATCTAGATAGGGCTTTTTAGCATTTTTTATGTCAGCCTGCTTCTGGAGTGCACACATAAACAGTGACATTGGCTGGTGTGAACCTTGTTGGAGGAGTGAAATCCTGAAAGGAATTGTGCTCAGAAAAGCAGCAGGCAAAATCATGCTATTTGCTCAAAACTATTGCATCTTGTAACCAAAGCAGTTCAAAATATCCATGCTCCTACTGTGCTAAAACAAACAAACAAAAAACCAACAAAAAACCCACCCCAGACTCTAAAACCAAAAAACAACCCACAAAAGAAGCATGTGATATGGGCTGTAGTCTTTCTGCAAAACAGATGAAGTCATGCCACCATAACGCTCGCCAGACACAAAAAAATTCCTCTTTTATTGACACCTTTCAAAGTCAAAGGTAAGCCTGGATGTTATCACAGTTAGACTGTCAGTCACTGACACTGTGGCTAGTTCATTTGAAAAATGAGTGTCCTAATTTACTAAGTATTTTTTAGAAGATCCAGACCTGATGGATGTGAAAAGGACAATATATGGATTCAATTCTGCTATCATTTGTAGCCATTCAAAACTCTGAGCCATCAGCAGGTCAGAAATACATCGGTTTGGGAAAAAATAACAGATACATATTTTATTAATTTTGATCTGTTAAGTACTTCAAATAATGTGAAATGAATCATAGAATCATAGAATCATAGAAGCATAGAATGGTTAGGGTTGGAAGGGACCTTAAAGATCATCTAGTTCCACCCCCCCTGCCATGGGCAGGGACACCTTCCACTAGACCAGGTTGCTCAAAGCCTCATCCAGCCTGGCCTTGAAGACATCCAGGGATGGGGCATCCACAGCTTCTCTGGGCAACCTGTTCCAGTGCCTCACCACCCTCTCTGTGAAGAATTTCTTCCTGACATCTAATCTAAACCTCCCTGATTTCAATTTATACCCATTACCCCTTGTCCTATCACTACAGGCTCTTGTAAAAAGTCCTCTCCCAGCACCCTTGTAGGCCCCCTTCAGATACTGGAAAGCTGCAATGAGGTCTCCTTGGAGCCTCCTCTTCTCCAGGCTGAACAAGCCCAGTTCTCGCAGCCTTTCGTCATAGGAGAGGAGCTCCAGCCCTCTGATCATCTTCGTGGCCTCCTCTGGACTCGCTCCAAGTGGTCAATATCCTTCTGATATTGAGGGCTCCACAGCTGGACGCAGCACTCCAGGTGGGGTCTCACCAGAGCAGAGTAGAGGGGCAGAATCACCTCCCTCGACCTGCTGGCCAAACCTCTCCGGATACAGCCCAGGAAATGAGAAACACTTCAGTGTACTTCAAGGATTTCACTAGGTTTTATATTTTGCATATATTTCCCAAGAAAGACAAAACCTATTGATCTTTCCATGGCAAATAAGTCACTGCTCAGCTACACAATTGAATGGAGAAAGATCAGTCTGGATAGTTTATTTCACAAGGTACAATGAATGAACAGTTAGCAGGACTGGACCCAAAGCAGATATCAGTGGCTGTGCATATGCAGGTGTGTTACATACAAAATAGTATTTTACTTACAACTGCAGATTGTATTGGACAAGAAACTCTGAATGTTGAACTGTGACCTAGATATGAGTCTAACTATATCTTTGAAGATGACACAAACTTAACTGGTTGATTCTTGGCCCTGATAAATTGTTTACAAAAATTTCAAACACATTCTGCAAAATGCACAAACTATATTTGGTTTTGTTTTGCTGGCTCAAAAATTTACTGAGCTGCAGACACTTTAAGTTATGGTAGTATTTGATCTTAAACTTATTAGAAATTGTGGGGGTTTGTGTGATTGCCAATAATTCTGAATTTGCTGTCTACCTCAAACACACATTTGAGTAATGTGGTGACCTTGGGTGTATTTTGAGCTAAATAACTCCTCTACTCCTACCAAGTACATAGTATCACTTTTTTTTTTTTTTTTTCCCAAACAAAGTATTAGGAATAACAAAGTCTATGGCAGAATTTTGACATTTCAGTTGACACAATGGGAAGGAGTAGGAGATAATAGGCTAGAGGTTGTCCTGAC